CACAGGCAAAGCTCTTCTACCCATTTTGATACTGTTGCCATTACTCTTTAGGGCCACTCTTAGAAAACTTCCCTCCAGAAGAAAGGAGTTTCTGGAAAGCAGGCTGACCTGAATGTCACATAGCATGACACAAACTTTCTGATGGATTGAGCGAAGAACAGGGTCTGGGTAATTGCCAGTGGCATTGGAGAAAGTGTGTATAGATAGGATGCCATCATTGGGGTGGTATTAGAGCATCGTTGGTACAGGGCCCTGCTGATTGGGGGGGGGGGTCTTCTGCAGTTGCAGACTTGTAGGTCAGGTTTATTAGGGCAGAAATGATTTGAGCGTTGGTGAAGTGAAGATAGAATTTGTGGAGTGAAGTGTGAGTCTTTCCCAGCATGACCTAACATGAGTGCTGACTCTTAGGAGGGCTTTATGTGACTTTTGCCCCCTACTTTGAGGAATGGCCAAAGCATTCTGCCTGGCACAGAGAAAATGAAACATGTGAAGAGGTAGGAGTCACCCAAGATGAGACAGGAAAAGGCAGAACAATACCTAGGCCCGTGCAGCTCCAACCTGCTGGCCCAGGCTGATGCCTTAGCTGGCATCTTCCTTTCTCACAGACGAGTAATGGCTCTGAGGAAGATGCTGCTGCAGGGACTTGGGCTCAAGAGTAAGGCTGCCCCTGGGCTTGGCGTTTGCTGCTGTCAATGGACACACGGGGCTTCTGCCCGCTGGAGGTTGGCTGTGCATGTGGGTGCCTCCTGAGAAGGAGGATGCAGTCCTGAGTCACACTAGCATGGGTGGGGCTGCATGTCCTGGCAGGCGTTACCCAAGCAGCCCTTTCCGGAGACCCATCCTGCCCTAAGAAACCAAAGCTGGGGCTGCTTTTCCTGGCCTGGGAGAGATCTCTATTCAGAAAGTGTGCCACCTGCACCTCTGGGTAGGTGTTTAGTGACATGGGCAGTTGGGCTTTGTGGGGGACATTGGACAGGCAGAGCCACAGGGAAGAGAAACTGCTTGGCAACTGGGGATAAGATTGGTAGGGAACCTTAAGAAGGATACTTGAGGTTTTGTTAGAAGTCTGGATGGACTTGGAAACCATTCAAGGTGTCCACTGAAATACAAACATTTTCATTTGTCAGTTTTGCATCTGATAGCAAAATATTTGAATACGTGGACTTCAGGTTTAATTCAAGTTGGATTTGTTTGAGGTCAATGAAATTGTGTCTGCTAAGTGGCATCTCCAGGCCCTGGAGGCAGCCATTCTAAGAACACCCTTGTCACAAAGGTTGTACTATCAAGCCTGAGAGCAGTCTAAACAGGAAAAGAAATTTGTTGGATTTGGGCGTGTAACAGATTTTTGGCATGGAATTATTCCATGGATTATATTACTTTTTGGCTTTGAGGTTCTCAATAGATCAAGGTTGACCTCAGGTCATTGAAGGTGTCCTGAAAAGCACTTGTGACCTGAGGCATTCAGGATACATGTGACATCAGCAATTTTATTAATAAAAGAAAAAAATTGTAATTCTACTAATGTGATGCTGATTTTTGGTATTTATCCTAAGCCTTTTTTGGACGGGAGGCGTCTTTTTGAGATAGGGTCTCCCTGTAGCCCCAGCTGTCCTGGAATTCACTATGTAGACCTTGAACTCACAGAGATCCTCCTGCCTCTGCCTCCCGAGTGCTGGGATTAAAGACGTGCACCACCATGACTAATATGTTTAATGTGGTGTACCTTCCTGAAAAGGGAGGAACCAGGTACTGGCATAGAGTAGAAGAATGTTGTGAATCACAGGTCTGAAGAACGTCATGGGGATCCAAGAATGGTGGCTTGAACCTGTAAATTTCAACGTGGGGACACTGGGTTAGGAGGGTCTTTGTGAGTGAGG